GTTATCACGATGAAGTATAATTTTTGATAGTGTCTGATAAGAGGGAGGCAATGAGTGAAGTAGATGCATAGCTTTCTTAATGTCAGAAAGCTCCTCTCCCATACTTTGAAGATCTACCAACAAATCTCAGTAGGCGTGAATGTGATCCTGAATTCTTGAGTCTGGACTCATCCTGAAATTCAATAGCCTCATGTACGTATTCATCACATGGGAGATTTACTTCTAATGAAACCGTCTCTGTAGGGTATCAAAGAGCTGTGTAATCTCAATATACTCCTCAACTTGCTTCATAACCGAAGGATCGAGATAACCCATCACAATGTAGAATGCTTGCTCTTGTGAATCTTTCCAATCAATGTCGGTAATGTGCATTGGTTTGTCTTTAAGCACATTAGCGAGACCCATAGATTTCAACTTGCCTTTCACCTGCTTTTCCCAAAGCAAGTAATCGGATCGGCCATCAAGAGGAAAAATGTTGGCAAGTTGAGAAACAAGTTCCAACAACTTGTTTCGATGTCATCTCAGTTCGACGAAAACTAGAGATACCGTCTGTTGTCACGGCAATTTCGTCCTTCGGTTGCATTTTCAGCTGCTGAAAATGGTCAAGATGCACTTTATGTATGTCACCTGCGACTATATCTGTCACCCGCGACTCTTGTTGCCCGGGACCACCGTCGCCGGTGACCACCGCCGCGATTGAGCGCGTACCCTAAACTCCAAACTAAACCCTTTTTATTTTTATTTTTATTTTTTTTATTTTTATTTTTATTTTTATTTTTTTTTATTTTTTTATTTTTATTTTTATTTTTATTTTATTTTTATTTTATTTTTTTTTATTTCCACAACTGACCATGTGCACAATGACCTATTTCAATTTCAACCACGTCCAACCTCAAACTAACCCTGACCACGTCCAACTACGAAGTTGCATAACTCTAACCGTGTAGACGTCTACTACGTTCAATAGGATGTGGACCACGTCCAATTACAACTACGTAGTGAACTCTGCACAGTCTATTCCTTCTGCCTTGCAAGTCTCATAGGAATGGAAGTACCTCCTACCACGTTCATAGCAGGAGCTCAGTGGTTAGTGATTCGCGTTCGCAAGCAGGAGGTCGTGGATTCGAGTCCCACTCGGAGCGTGTTCTCGCGCAGGTGATGACCCGCCACACCCGGCTCTCACCCGCGATGGGCCCACCCGTGAAGTGCCTGCGTGTGCCGCTCGCGAAGTGCCTACCCACGCCGCCCGGCTCCCGCGATGCCTCCTCCTGGCTCCCACCCGCGACGTGCCTGCGCGCGCCTGCTCGGGAAGTGCTGACCCCCCGCCGCGAAGATGGTGACCCGAGCTTCTCACGAACTTCCGACCCGCGCCGCCCGGCTCCCGCTGGCGATGCCTCTGCCCAGCTCCTACCCGTGACGTGCAGATGGTAACCCGCGCCGCTCGCAAACTTCGAACCCACCTTCTCGGCTCAATCCCCTCCCCCCCCCCCCCCCCCCCCCCCCCCCGGCGACGTGTCTGCGCGCGCCGCTCGGGAAGAATGTGCGTAGGGGGTGGGGAAGGCCTGACGAAGCCCTAGTCACAGGGGTGGCGGCCGCACCTTGTCCCTTAAGGGAACCCTAATCTGGATACTGAAAACAAAAACTTCGAGAAAACTTCGAGAAAATGAAACTGAAACTTTGAGGATCTGAGGAGGAAAACTTCGAGAAAGGGTAAACTTCGAAAAAACTTCAAACTCGAAGAAAATTCACAACCGTCGTAAAATATCAGGAGCGTTGGAAACTCAAAATCATCTCAAAAAACCATCACTAAAGTGTAACCTATCACTAAGGAAACTATCATCCATATTGTCACTGAGAAAACCGTGAGCTGAAAACTGTCACTAAGAAAACTGTCAGTTGAAAACTGTCACTCAGAAAACCGTCAGCTGAAAACTGTCACTATATATCCGAAGCTAAAACCGGCTCTGATATCATTTGTTAACGTAAAATCAAGAATCATTCACTAGACACTCATATAACGTGGTTCACCCTCGAGGGTTACGTCCACGGCTGGAACACTTAGCAGGTTTACTGACAAGTGAATACACAATATTCAAAACTGTCACAAAGAAAACCTTCAGCACACAAACTGTTCGTGAGAAAACCGTTAGCTGAAAACTGTCACTAAGAAAACCGTCAGCTGAAAACTGTCACTGAGAAAACCGTGAACTGAAAACTGTCACTAAGAAAACTGTCACTGAGAAAACCGTCAGCTGAAAATTGTCACAATATATCCGAAGCTAAAACTGGCTCTAATACCATTTGTTAACGTAAAATCAAGAATCATTCACAAGACACTCATATAACGTGGTTCATCCTCGAGGGTTACGTCCACGGCTGGAACACTGAGCAGGTTTACTAACAAGTGAATACACAATATTTCGGCTACATCTAGAAGCCTTGGCTTTGGAGGTATATTTAAACCCAAAGCCAGCGACACACATAACTATAAATAGCTAGAGCGTGAGGTTACTCTTTAATCGGAGTTAACCTCAACAAGAATTTATATTCAAAGATTTTTTATATAAAATTTAACTTTTTATGTTCCAACAAAATTTTGATAATATACTTTTTTTATAATTTAATTTTAATAATACACACAATAGATTTATTTCACTGATAAAATAATTTTTTATCTCTCAAAACTTTAACACTTATTTGATTCTATGTACATAACAAACATATGTTGTGCATATTAATTATGCACAAAAATAAAAATCACCATTAGATAAAACATAAAAACATATAAAGAAATAATAACCACTTTGTATGAATTATCACACATCAACACAAGAATATCAATATTAAATTATTATTTTACAAGTTTTACTAAATGACATCCCGTTTAACATTTTCATGAAAATAATAATGAAACCAATAAATTTGAAGTTTCAAATTTTTCAAAATGAAAATTTATAATTATTATCACACTCTTAGTATTAAATCTGTATGTTTTACAATATATCATAGTTTAATCCTATCAATTTTTCTCTTAGCAAGTAACAAATTTATTCACCTCAATTCGACACGAATTCAATGTGCCATATATTCAAAAGTTAATATATTGTTAATTTAATCAATATAAAATAATACCAATATATTTCAAGTTTCAACTTTGGACATATCGTGGAAAAACTCTAATAAATATAAATTAGAGTTTTTGGCAGCATCAACTATGAAATTTGTGAACTTTTGATCATATGTCAATTTTGATCATTTTTTTCATCAATCAACATGATTTTCTTTATTTAACTTACTTATGTATACTGTTCTTGCATGAGATCAAGACATGTAAGCTTAGATCTGAATTTAATTCCACTTTAATTCAAGCTTTGTTGGAAAATAAATGTTTTTTAATATCCGATTCTCTAGATGTTATCAACCTCGTAATGATATAAACTGCGGATAATGTTTGCAAATTAGTTATCTTGCAATACAGCTATATACATACATACATCCATCCAGATAAAATTTATTTTAAAGCTATATCTGTACAAAGATCTATATTTTATCACTGAATATGAAAACTTGAATTAAAATGAAATTAATAATTAAACAATAAATCATCTTAAAATCATCTATACCTAATCAGGTTTGATAACCCAAACCAAAAAATTGCAACGTAACAAAACAATTCTGTTCAATATTTGTACATGATTAGTCATGTATTCCATTGTTTTATTTAATTTACTTTTTTTATTAGAATTAAATATGTGTATATATTGATGTACAATTATTTATTTATTTATTTTGGAAAAGAAAAATCAAATTATCTATTGAATTATTTAAATGATCATTGAACTCCAAATCAAAAAATTTGATGTTTAAATACACCTTTTGAATTGAACGTGAAAAAAATGAATGTTGCAACTGATATTAATAATGCTACAATATAATTTTAAAATTGTGATGGATTTCTTTGGAATAAAAAATGTATTCAATATCTATTTATTGAACACATTTTCAGACAAATAGTCAATCGAATATCTTAATGCATAAAGAAATGTATAAATATCACAATGGTAATACACATATTGATATTGTAATAGGTTTGTGTATGTGAATTTGAATCAATTGAGCCAGTTTAAATCTCTATTTTTCATTCTAAATTTAGTATTTTAATTCTTATCATCATATCATTCTTGTGTGTATTTTGGATTCAATCCACACAAGTGAATTGTAAGAAAACGATTTATTGAATACTATTTTTAAAGTAAGTGTATATATTTATATATAAATTAGTTTAGGTACATTGAAATGGAAAACATGTATTCACATAAGAACATAATCTTGTGATTACATGTCTACTATTACGAGTGTCTATCACATGGAATCTCCCCGTAGTCTTTGCTAAGTTGTTGGGTGCCCATTCCCAAGTGCGATCGATCAAGTGCTGAAGTGCTTCTGTAGATGGTTAGGGCAGAGTCAACGGGGCAAGCGGTATCCATACGGATCTACATCTCGATGCACCAATACGACTCAGCATAAATCTATCGTCACTTTCTCAATCCCGTGACTTCAGCCATGTTGCCAATATAAACGATCATTATACTTTTACTGTACCTAGAAGTTCTAGGTACAGTTCTAAACGCTGTTCTAGGCTAGAACAGCGTGTAGACATTGGTCTGTTTGTAGGTAAGGTCATAGATACCATACATACGCATTGCTTTCGTGTTTTCTGTATGCCAAGTATGACTACTCGCTCCCTTAGTCTATAGCTAATGCAGTCCAAATTTCGATGGCGTGTAGGCCCATCGGCTGTACTAATCACATGTAAATAGATTAAATTAATTACAACTTAACTACATGGATTCGACTTAAAGAGTGTGTGCACTGAGAAGAAGAGTTCGAAGATCATTTTTTTTTTCGCCATGTATGCAAACGTCCTTCTCTCGAGTCCGAAATTAAAACCTTTGGGGACAAAGAAGTTTCACGGAATCGAGTTTCACTTCAAAGACTCACCATCCAGATAATTGTGGTGGTCACTTCAGAATCCAATCACACTATTGAGAGAGTTCGTCTGGTAGATAAATAGGATATTGACTTACTCTTCATTTACTTGCAGTTCTTTCCGTCCTAATGACTTCAGATATCACTCGCGACCACTGTACTCACATTTGCAGATCTACTGACCTGGATTTTATTCTCTTTTCATCTCTCTTTAGCAATGCTTTTGAACAGACACGCGTGATTATGGGATATTCACCGTACGTTTGGTTGCGCGCCTCACGGGCTCATTGTAATCACCTGAATGTATTTCCCACCGTTGTCTAAGCAACAGAGCAAGCGGGTAGTTAATCAATGAAGCTTCCTGGCTGACAATATTAGCCAAACATGGTACTGATGTGATGGTAGACAGAACCTAATGAGACAGATGTTTTGAAGCAGAATCCTCGGTCGGGCTTTAATCCGTCCGTGTAAGAATCAAAACTCAGATGGGTGTGGAATGTTCAACGGGTTTGCCCTCATTCAAAATTGACTACAAAATTGAGCAGCTCTGCAGGCCTCGACTAGATTCCTAATGTCTGTCAGTGTACTTTCGAAAGAACCTCCGATTTTGACTCCTTGAAACATGCTCTCAGTTGCTTTGCCCAGGAGTAGAAAAGGCCTACTGCGCAATAAACTGAGATTAACATAAGAGGAACGAACGGAAGGCGGTCTTTGAAGACAAAAGGATGCAGAAACTGCGAGTAAAGTTCGACTGGTATTAGACCACATAGGTAAAGCTTCTTCCAGCTTCCAATTAACTCTACCTCTTGAAATGAGTAATCAACCTTCCAATTGACCTTGGATGCAGAAAAACTGGATTTGGACACGGTAGGTTCAACAGGCTCAGTCTGACCGTCTCCACTTTCGTTCAATTGTCGAGCTTGCAAATCTCCGAAATAGTGCGTCTGGTATATCGTAATACCATACGTGTAAAGAAATAGTAACAGAACTTTGATAGGGTATTCTTTGCCTTCGAACAAGAGTGGAAACAATGAGTAATAGGAAACTGCATGCAACACAGTTGAAAGTGTGTTAGTACATATATTCCTTAACTACACGCCGTTGGCTCACCTCTAGCTAAACCTTCTTCTCTAAGAATAATCTATGACATTATTTCCTACACAAATTTTTTTCAGCCCAGGACTTTTCGTTACTAATGTGCTAAACTGGAGGCTCCGTTCTTTGAAACAAGTTTAAAGACGTAAACAACCTTCGCTTAGCCAATTCCAGTGTGCCTAAGTGAGCGTACGGTTAACTTTGATTCATCAAAACTGGACAGTGAAGTGGACCTCTCCTTAGTCATGCACAGTCACAAACGTCATCCAGAACAATGCGAGCTTTGACAAGTCCGACCTGTTGAGATGAAGACGAAGTCTACAGAAGCTTCCACGCTGTCCACAATAAGCAAACTCAGAGGAACGACAAAGTGTAGAGCTGCTTTCTCATGAACATGCCAACCGAACATGTAACCACAGATGTATGAGTACACAATCCACTGCACAACTTCAGATCTTCTTGGCTTTCTCCAGATTCGAATCATGCAAGGTAGCATCGCCACTAGCACAAGCAACCCAGTGACCGCTGGAGTTACCTGGAAGATTTCCCACATTGTGAAGCTTAGATAGAGATATGTGCAGATCTGTAAGAGAAATGTCCACTTATGACACTCAGTTCACTTTAAACTAGAGGTTCAAAAACTCAGTATCAGTTGACTTCCTTGCTGTTGAAAAGTAGATTACTGATTCTCTTCTTCTGACCTGCTAAGAGTAATGAGAAGTCGGCACCAAAGGACATGCAACACCTACCTTCGGGAGAACGACATGCCCAGATGAATCCCCCACAAGGCCTCCGGTCATCGCTGCCTTTGGAGTTGGAAGATCCACGCCCAGCAGTCTTAGGGCGGCTGCAAGCACTTTGTCTGTTGTGTTGTATAGAGACCAAAAATTAGGTGCCCAGTACGCATGACACAGACCTCTTCCGAAAGGAAAAAGCCTCTTCAACACTTGACCCATCTGCCGTGTCCACAAGACAGACCTATAAAACATCAGATTATACAGTGAGCTTGCTCTTACCGGACCTAGCATACTTTTTATTTACAATAACAGTAGTCTACCAGCTATTAAAATATCACGAACAAACTCTCAACATATCAGAAGAAAGAAGAGTAATTTTGTGCTTTTTCAGTGAAGGGGGGAGAACAAGTACAAAACAATTGACGAGGGATAACATTGAGGTGCAGCAGAAACCTGGCCGTAGTAAATAAATGGCCCAAAAGCCACTCCCACAACCGATAGAACTGTTGAACCTAAGACGAAGAACTTGGCAAACCATGAGGATCCCCTACAATGATGCCGTAGCAAGTACACGAAGTAGATAGGTCCTGCTACTGCGAATAAATGCTTGAAGCAGACGAGCACTGAAAACCAGAAGCCACCCATAACATTCCTCCCTTCTCGAAGACAAGAGAGAGAAAGTAAGAGAATTCCGAGCAAAAATCCATTGTACTGGAAGTGCACATGGTCCACCATGAGAAGTCCTGGAGAAAATGCCACAGCTGCATATACTATCCTCTGTTTTTCTATAGGAAATTTACGGCAAAATCTCCAGAGCCCCCAGTATAGCACACTATCGGCTGCCATGACTGTCACTCTATGAAACAAGATGACTGTCTCGCTCGAATAATTCAATCCTCCGACTAGATCCACCATCCTTGGATCCACGTAACTGGCAAAAAGGGCCAGGAAACGTTCGAACCAGGCAAAAAAAGGAGGATAGTCCAACGTCCATTCACTTGTTTCATCCAGATACCATTCTTCCAGTGGAAGGCTACTGGTTATGGCCATCCAGTGTCGGTGTACCTCAAAGTCTGTGCTGTGATAAGATGGCACCAACAAGAGTTTTATGCAGGTGGAAACTGCCACCATCCACAAGAGCTCGTGACTATTGGACGTCCTCATTGCAACCAGTTTTGCATGATGTTTTGCTATCTCATGTTCTTCACTCCTCAAAGACTCCTCAGATCACCGTAGCCAAGCTGGGAACGATTCTAACGATGGCTTCCAAATCGCGAGGTTAGCACCTGCTTGGGTACAATTCTGTCCGGCGTACTCTGCATATTTTCTCAAGACGTGCCTCTGGATTCCACCTCGGTCCATTCCGACACTGCTTCCAGCTTAAAGTATCATGACAAAAGAATATGACGAGACATCGGCATACCAATTGAGAGCCTCATCGCAATTACATCGTCGCGATCTGCCAAAAAGTCACAATCAATAACCATCAAAAGGGACGACGATTTCACTATACTGGCTATGTATAGAGAAATCGCGCGAGCATATCCATGAAGGCTGTGATGGGCACTTTTTCGAACTCTCCGTATCGTTAGCAAGAACCAGCGCTCCCCGGAGACAGTGTTCGCTACTTACGGATCGAATTGAACATCAAGAAACCGCTCAATAAGTAGAAGAAATGGACAAGGACCTGATGATAATCCGAAATTAATCAGAAAGTTCACAGAGGAAAAAAGAAATTGAACTTCCAATCTGCACGACAGATGAAAAGAAGAAGCCGCCAGACATGTAGATACAAATTCCAGAAAATCCTCTGAAACAGCTGCTGCAGGAGAGCACACCAAGAAATGGCAAAAGTTATCAGCAGAAATGGCTCCTCCTGGATTCAAATTATTCCAGCATACCCACCAATGCTTCGAATCGTCTTGCGGAAGTTAAAGTCGGGAGAAAATGCGGGACTCAACGACTTACTGAATGTCGGTCGACGATCACGCTTCCCGTCCAGTCGACTTTAAAGCACCGTCCCTTGAGCCTACGATGATCGTATCACGGGGATTCTTTCGAACGCTCACAGTCACTAGTGCTAGTACGGTAGAGCGTGGTTCACAGTGCAGTAATAGCTATCAAAGCATAAGATAGAAGAGCATAGCTGTACGTTTCGCGTTAATTTGTTTGTGAAAAAAACTCAATGGTTTATTCTACTAAATATATCAAAAAAATTTGTTCATAACATTGTGTATAATTTTAAGTCTATTTGAATATTACTTTTTTTACAAACCTCAATTGGTGTTGTGATTCGTTGGAGAGCACCAGGTTTTTTACTATTGAACCTATTTGGCTTTACTACAAAATTTTTATTTAATCTAATTTAAAAAGGAATAAAAAAATTCCATCGAACAACAATTGGTGGCTATCACTTGCATAGACGTGATTTTTACCGTATCATTTTGAAATCAGATAATTTCAATATCGGATAAATCTGAGAGAAAAATAACCTTTATTCATGAACATAGACGTAGTTTGGGCAAATTCTTATTTTCGGCAAAACACATTGATTTTCTGACCTTACTCTACACAGTGGAGTGTATATATAAATGCGCAACATACAATGGATAGATGGTTAAGCGTATCACAAGGTTGTGATCTCCCTGCAACGAACCTACAACAATTTCCACTTGCAAGACATTGTGGAGTCTAAGATCGGGTAAACAAAGTTGTGTGAAAATAGATAGCTGTGATCATAAGAAAGATATTTTTGTGGTGAATTTTACCCAAAATAACAAATCATACAATTGTTTTTTTCCACCAATAATCAGCCAGTTAGTGACCAAGAGTGATACTTAATAGCATTCCCGTGTTACCCGAAGCTGTCATTAGAGAGGAAAGTGGTTAATTGTATAATGAGCTGGAATGACTGACCAGGGTCACCTGGTCACTCTGGGTTATCTCATTTGTAGAGTGTAGTTGGCGAGGGAGTACTGACTGCTGGGACTTGGCGGAATCTTCTCCTGGTGCTGTGACAGGAAAGGAGGAGAGAAGTATTTTGGTGTTCGTGGGCAAAGAGAGGAGTCGGAGTCTTCAAGTAGTTTTGTTGTCGATCCCTCGTTCTTCTTGGAGGCGCAGTGAGTGATTGCTTGTCTTCGGTGGACACCTGATGGCGTTCATCATGGAATTTGCCGAGAACTGGATTCGGAGGAGCATGGAGGATCCAGAGGAGCGCGATCGCAAGTTCAGAGAGCATGTGCAGACGACGAAAGCTAAGTGCGAAGTTCTTAAGGAGCAGTGGGCACAACCGGTGAAGCAGTATGGGTCTTGGAATTCTGACAAAAACAATCACAAATTTCTAATGGATCTGCGCATGGGGCGTGTACCTGGACGCACAGATCCAATCGTAGAGACCGCTCTCGCTCAGCCTAGAAGTTGAAAAAGAGCCCAGTAATTTTCCGATTCAATGTTCCTACATGTGAGTTTCTTTGACTGATTATCTTCCCCTGAGCATCCGTATTGGGGTTTTTGGCATACACGCAGGATTTTCTGTTCTTCAGAATTGTGTAACAAATTGGACCACAGGAGTAAGATTGGGCCTTTGAATAGATGGGCGGATGAATGAATGCAAGGATCTCGATTGGAATTTCTGCAAGATCATTCTATTCGTGTCTTTATACATGAATAAAGTGCTGGTCCCCAGTTGTAGCTCTTAAAGATGAGGGGAAATAAACGAAAGGAGCGAATTGTGTTTTTAGATCAATTTCATTCCGTACCCTAAATTTATGGTGTTAATTGCACGTTTGGATTTCTCTTTGTTTTATCGTTTCAGCAACACCTCTCTATTTCATGGCACAATCAGCCACATCAGTTGTTAATGCTGTCTTTATGTGCTTCAATACCTTCTTGCGTCAACATTTGTGTCATCAGACATACATTGAGAATCCTAGTGTGGGCAATATATTTTCTCAGAGTTGGAGATGTCTGAAACCCTAAGTCTTAATTCCTCGTTTCTGCTTTAAGTCTAAAATTGTTTGATTATGAATTATGGGGAACATGGATTGTTTAATGTCCTCCAACCGACTTGCCATCAGAAGAAAGATAGTGGGTGTTATGAAACTCACCACTCTTGTCAACATGAGCTCGTTTTTGTGGCATAGAATATTGTTTTATCGTGGATTTTGCACCTTCACCTTGTCCTTCTCTTGTGATATGGGTCCGTTGTTTCTCAGGATTCAGGTTCATTATCTTGCCCAATATCTTATGGATCGGGGATTCAGATTAAGCACTCTCTTTTGACATGATTTTATAAAACTCGCGATTGAAACTTTTGTGGAAAATTTCCAACTGTGAGAAACTTGGTCTAAATATCAGTGCCAGGCACCAGAAGCGATGGCAGTTGAAATCTTTTGAAGAAGGGTACTGGCTGGTCTATACAGCAGGTTTTCGTACTGTTGCCTTTTCAAAGGAAGAAGTGTGAAATCATGAGGATGAGAAGGTCGTACATCAGAAAACTGGGTGTTAAGAAAATACTCGTAAGTCTGAAGAAGGTGCATTGGAGCCTCACATCAGTGTCAATGGCATTTTACCATTCTGATGAGGTGAATCACTACTGGGCTGAAAGATTCTGCTACGGGCTGCAAAACCTGTCCGAGTCTAAATATTTCTGTGTGTACAAATGTTCTGATTTAGGAATATGCGATGGAATGGTCTTACAAGTGTTAGTGTAACTATTTTGAGGATCTTAACGTGAGCTCATTGCTCTGTTGCCTGCCATGATAACTCCTCACCTCGACAGTTTTGAGAATTGGAATCCACCTGTACATTCTCCTGCATCTGCAGTTTATAGAAATTCAGCTTTGTTGGAATTATTGTTCTGGTGTGGTTTGAACACGTCCTTGTTCCAGTAAATAAAGGAACGTCTTGCAAATTGGACCTCACTATCATTGAAGGCTCCTGTGACCCTGATGAAGTTCTTTCTTGTGACACTATATATTGGCGCAAGATGATCAACAGTCGAGAATATTCTCTCACCTGTGTACATATAAATATTTTTACCAATCTCTGAACTGCACAGTGGTGGACAAATTGCAAGACCTGGTCAAAACATGTAGTAATTTACACAAAAAATCACCATATTTTACTTACAACTTTATATCCATATGGTACAATGGTACATGACCACAATGTCTTACTAACTTAGAAAACTTTAATCTCAAACCCTTTGAAGTGTGCATGCATGCACTCACAACTCTTTATCTATGAGGGTTTTCTATGATCCAGTGCGAACCTAAACCAGTGTACTTCGTCTTTGCAATCTAGCTACTACAAAATCTTGGATCTCTTGGTGGACATTTCTACATCTCTTGAAGAAAATTCACCATCTCGAAAGTGGGCCAAGGAACCAAATCTTGAACTAAAATGTTCTCCGGCTATTGAATTAAGAGTGGAGCAATCCACACTCCAGAAAGAATATCCAGCATCAGATGCCTACAATTAGCTGCAAGTGCGAACAAGCTCAAGGCACCAGTACGATAGCTTGGCTTGTTCCACAAGGAGAATCTTGAACAGAGCATGGTACAGCATTTTCAAAACCTAAAGCAATTGAGGCTACATCCGCCTACTACAGGTGCAAGCAATCGTAAGATTTTACACCGAGTGAGTGAACTTGCACACATCAAAATTGATTTGGGTCATATAGATGATGGATCTTAATGTAGTTGATGACGCTATCTGGCGTCAAGTACTTCACAGACAACCCTCGTTCCAGATTTCGTCTGCAAGCAATAATTTAGTTACTACACGAAAGTGAAGTCCTTACGGAAGAGTCTCAAAAGTTTACACTACGCATCATGATAACCCGAAATGTTTCACGTGAGCTGGGAAGATCTGTATACTAATCCGCAATGGCAGCCTTTTCTTCAGAATTGCTCAAAATTTATCTTCATAGTTGTAAATTTTCGGAACACTAATGTCCTAGCTGCTCCTACTAACATACAGTAACGCCTTAGAGGTTCCGCCCACAACAGGGAGGTCTAGAGCACAACGTTCAGACAAACTTCATTTGAGCTAGAATTTGGCAGGTTCATTGGGTGTGAGGAAGAAACTCATGAAGGCTAATCACATATAACTTTCTACCTTGCGTAGCTAAGAAATCAAATGAGTTGGGAAAAAAGAGAAAGTATTAAGTACCGAAGTTTTGTGGAGCTGATATTGTTCGTCACGATTTCATCCACAACAATTATATTCCTCTGCAAAGTAAGAGAGAAGAAAATTGCCCAATGGAAGTCAATGTTCAGTTTGCAGAACCGGAAAATTGCGATTTGATTCAGGCCTTGAGTGCGAATAGAAGGAGAAGAGAAGAGAGAGGACATCGAGGAATCTCAAGCATATGTAATCTTTGAGTAGAAATTTGGTAAACGTCTATATTGCCTTCTCCGAATTATCACATGGCCCGCCTGAGGGAAGGTACTGCACCTAGTGGTTAGATCTTCCCACTAATAAATAACTTTCACAAACAGAAGATCTTATGGTTTGAGAAGTTGATCCTACTACATAGATTACGAAGATCATACAGTAAGTGACAAGAAATAGACTCACTAGAAAGACCTACCCTCTGCTCATAGAGCATGTCGTTCTCAAAAATTATTTTGCGCACGTCCTTTCCGTCCCGAGATATGCATACTACACCATGCTCGTTGAATATACTTTGCACCTAAAACGAGATATAGCAGAATTGAAAACAGCAATGAGAACATGACAAAAAACATAAAAAGCCATACAAAACGCCGTGAGAACCTAATGCACTTTATTGCCGTAGCGATAAGATGTGTGAAAGTAATTAGTCCATTCCAGTAACCATTACCTGATCGGGAATCCAGACCTTGGAGTCAGTGAACGATTCCAGAAGATCAGCTCCACAGAGCACCATAACACGAACCTTTTCTGAGGTAATTCAAGAGACACAATCTTTTCTGAGTTCATTCAAGAAAACACAATCTCTCCTCAAATGATACGCTAAGTAAGATAATGATTGATTTCTTCCACTAAAATCATCACAAGCTACAAACTGTCATGACCCAGTTGTTGAGAAAAAGGGATGGTGGAATATATTCGACAAAGAGAAACATAGATGTAGCCAATTCTGACATAAGAATTTAGCCAGAGACACAACTCACCCTTCCACAGAAATCAAACCGGAAAGAAACACGTACCATCGCCGGCAAAGCCATGGGTGTTGACAGCATGATCCACTCGATTTAGCACAATGAGGGTGCGCTGATAGCTGGTCTGCTTCGCCTACTTCACCCATCCCATTCCGCCCACTCACCTCAACGACTTCACTATCTTTGCCACCTCGTCTATGCTAAGTAGACCAACCTCTGATTCAGAGACCCAAACAATGCTGGGCCAAACCGGACATACAACCTGACATATGGAACGCTAAAATACCCGAACAATACCACTGAAAAGGATCTTCTTGCTGAGTTCCAATCTTTGTGACGTGACATGTTCCAACACACTGCACAGCCATGACTAATAAGGAGAAAATCACTCGGAACAACCCACGAAAAGAGCATGTTAGATCAATGAGTATACACACCTCCCAGGAATCGACCATTATGAATGGGGATTCATTTGATGCTAGTTGGCACAGCCGAATGCGGTGCTCTGCAGCAGCCAAACCCTTGGCCAGAAACCGACGTATCAGCATGCAGAGTCTTCTGAAGATAGTCTTCCATGTCAGCACAGCTTACAAGAGACACTTCAGAAGTGATCAAAGGTATTTAGACCAAGAAAACCTGAACTTACCTTCTTTCCGTATGCATCATTAACAGGTGACATGTAACCTCCAAGAACATCGTAGCCTTCACCAATAAGTGCATCGCGAGCAAGTTCTGCAACCCAAAGTGGTTCAAAAATCACCACACACCTTACAATGATCCAAATTATTTCACAAATAATAAAAGAAGAGGAACTAAATACTTCCACCACTAGCCTCTGCGTCCAGAAATATTTTGAAGTGCCCATAAACATCTAAGACCAGGCAAGGTAGAATCAGCTCATACAACCTACCAAACATTCGTAGATGCATGTATGTTGGAGGGTTGAAGCTCCCCGGTGCAAGTAGTACAACTCGAGTTCGCTTCCTGCGCAAGAACAATCCTGACAACATTAACAGCAGACAAAGTGTTCACTCCTGACTAAGCGTAGGTCTTCTGAGGGTAGACTGCAAGATCCAATTGAGTATCGTCCCAAACCATAAACCTAGCTTGCAGAAAACCTTTTAAATGATTCAATTTCAGAAATTCAATCACTCCCTCGACTGTCAAAGCAAATTCTCTCTGGTATAGTTTCGAAATCATATGTTGCTTCATTCAATAGATACTAGATTCAACTTGGAAAACTCATCTGGACGGACTACCGATCATACTTTTAGATACACGGCAACAACCCGTCTTTACAGGGGTAACAGACAAGGCAATCACGGCATTCCAAAACACTAGTAAAGCGACATATGAAGACAGCATACTGCACTCGCTGCTTCTCTCAGAGAAACGGACGAAATTGGTGACCAAATTTCCCAAAGGTACACAGCCATTGTGCTGCAGCTATATTATTCACCGGGTACTCACGAGGTTTTATGAACAGCAAAAAAGCTTCATGCTGTCCGTTAGAAATCAATTCATGATCGTATGGTATCTCATCAAAATCTACAGATTCTTCCAACCATTCATTCCATTCCATTCACAATTACGTGAACGCTTCACGACAAGCAAATGGGTGGGTGGCATCTTCGAATTGAAAACCCTATGGTCTTGGCAGTTCCAAACGACATATTTGCACGATAGACAATACGCGGTGGCTGCACCAAATTCCGAAATTTCCAAGAACATAAGGACGGCATAAGCAACCGACAGAAGATGCGTCCGAGAGAATATCTCTCACGAGTCAAGAGTCAGGACAGATTCACACTTACTGGTCCATAATGTCGTTGGAAGGCTGACTGGAGAGTTTATCCATGGGCAACGGGATGTCGACAATTCCTGCCATCCAAGCGTGAGATATGTTTCAATAATAAGTGTAAGCGCTCCACGCTTCAATGTGTTAAAAGAAACGAAATTTACTCAAGCCTTAAGCACCACTAGCATTCTCTGGCCAGGCACTTAATACTGAATACAACGTCGCCGTTAAGGAAGACATGGTCGGAGCTTCCAAGCACAATTCAACAAGAGACTGAAGTGTAAAGTTCAATGTGAACATCGCAATCAGGATCAATGAAACCCTTCGCTTCGGTGGCACATCAGTAGCGCAGGCAATTCCACATCAGAGTGGAAGAACGAAAGCAGGTTACCCACGGAGCCCAAAGGTACGGGAGGGATGTTATAAAAGACAAGTAAGATAGTTAGGTACTTCGGAATTCCCCTCGATCGCATCCTCTACCTGAGGAGCACTCACTCCCTACTGAAACTCCATTGCCGGCACCCATCATCAGCGGCGCTCGGTCGGGGCCATCATACTGCGTCCAGCCACGACTCCTTCTCGCAGCCGTTCTGTCCCCCAAGAACTCGGCCATTGCCTCATACAGTTGGACGCGGAATGTCGCGGGGAGCTCTTTCGCCTTGGTCTTTTCTTTCTTCGAAATCTCGTCCAATTCCCAGTAGCTCGGTCTCCCGACTTTCTTGTTCCAATCAGCAATTTGTTTGAAGGCCGTAGACAGATTGGACCACTTGCGCTCGATCTCCTTGGGTTGCCGATCCACTCCGAGAGGGATGAGCAAATTTCGCACCTCCTTCCACTTCTCGTTCGCAGATTTGAACACGTGTTTTCCCTTCTTGCCTGCAACGGTCAATCTCATATGGATTTGCCTGTACGCACTCACCAACGCGTCCATTTCGGCATCTTGCCACAATTCTGCACGCTTTTTCTTACCGCTGCAATCCTTCTCGCCTTTGTCCCTGCTGTCGCCATCCCGGCCTTCGGCATCACCATCGTCTCCAACTTCTCCATCCATGCCCGTGCCCCCACAGCTACCGCCTCCGTCTCCGACATCACCTCCGACGTCGCCATCTGCACTGCCTCCACGCACCACACCGCCGACGACTAATCCACCCCCGACCTCCCCGCAATTGTCCGCGACGCCTCCCATCTTGCTCCCGACGCTGCCTCCCCCTGCCACTCTCGAGATGACTCCTACGACATTGCGAAAGGCTCCTATGCCACCCACCGAGCCTACAAAGCCTCCAGCTCCACCCTCTGGATCTTTACGGTTCGATTCCATGTCCTTGGACGCCTCGGAGGCCCGCTCCCCGCCCTCCGATTCATGCCACCAGCCCCCGCGCTTAACTTTCTTACTGCTCCTGTCGTCGTTGCTAAGGGAATCGTTGTCCTTAGCAAAAGCTGCGGATAAACAATTCTCCGGGTCCCTGGAATATGGGACTCTCGTATCCCCTCCTCCTCCTCCACCTCGGGCGTGGAAGGCATCCGCATCCTTCGAAAGAGATTCTCTGTCTCTAGCAAACGCCTCGCCTGTTCCTCCGTAATTTACCCTGTCCGGCCCAAAGGACTCCCTTCCGGAAACGAAGCCATCCCCCCCTCGGACGTTGTAACTCTCTCGGCCAAAAGCTTCTTTAGGGTAGCCATCTGTCGCGTAGGATTGCCTGTCGCTGCGAGGAAATGGGGTATAGCTCAATGGCGAAGGAAGATGCGCGTGGTCGACTTGATTTCTCGTCAGAGGATTTGGATGAGGCGAATATGCAGAATGATCCATGTGGGACTCGTTCGCACTTGGCTCCATCAATCTGTATTTCCCCCGTTCCAGCCCGCCCTGCCCTGCCCGCCTTCACGGCGAGCTCCAACTATCTTGCGAGGCTCAACTCTTGCTGGCTTCACCTCATCTCTTTCATGCCGCAAGGAACAGACAAGACCGCATGTGCGATTGTCAGCAAAAGCTCAACAATCCACCTGCCAGCCCGCGCTGGCGTGTTGACAGAGGAGACGTCCGCAAGCGAAGTCACTTGATAGACAGATGCAAATCGAACGATTTTCTCAGCGAACAAACTGGAGTAGTTGAAGTGCTCGAGCTTCGGGAGATGTCGTCTATCATTTCCATTGGTACGGGATTACCACACAGCCATAGGCCCTACTCCGCGCTATCGAACAGCCCGAGGCTCGCAATCAATTTATTTCCCGTCCCCGTGACTTGCATGCCGCAGCAGCACATCCTCTGCCAACTGCGCATTCATCACCAATCTTACAACCTCGCCTTCGCTCACATGCCCCTGTGGACGGAGTTCCTGTCGTCTCCAGGTCGTTCCGGCAGCTACCCCAAAGCAGCGCTAATTGAAATCACCTGAGAATTGCGAGGGGCAAGAAGAATAGCTCTTCGACGGGCTGGACACATCCTCGACGTCGGATGAGTGGAAACAAGCATGACAATCCACAGATTTTTCTACACTCACCTCGCGCGACAATTCGGACAGAGAGGAGGAGCGGGAGAGTGAGATGAGAAGTCAGAGAGGCGATTCAGGTGGACATCACAAAAACTCGAGTCGACCGGGGAAAATAATCCCGGGCGGGCGAAAAAGGACGGCAAGATAAGCAAAATGAAGCACGGCAAGTAGGGGACGGCGAGCCGGGCCAGCACGAGCGAGTCAAGCGAGGGGCAGAGGGAAGCCGAGCCCTGCCCAGCCCAGCCAGGCGGAACTCCGAACAGCTTCGGGGGACGGGAAGCTTAGAAGAAGCACACAAATTAACCCCGCTCTTAACCCTGGCCACTCTTCTCACGACATCGCCCGCGCCCAACCTTTTTCGTCCTGCCAACCGAAACAGCACGAAGCTCGTGCAGAGGAGGTGGCCTACAGGCTAGACACAAACTCACAGCAGCAACGACGCAATCAGCACACCAAGCCGCGAGAAGAGCGCGGAGGGGCCGGAGACAGCGGACGAAAAGCAAGGAAGTGCGGACGAACGAGAACGAGAGAGAGAGAGAGAGAGAGCCTGCGAGAGACGACGAGTAGCAACTGTAAGGGGAAACTCAAACAAGAAGTCGCGGAAAAATTTCCTGCTCACGCTCTTTTTCCCGATTGTGCTCTTGCTCTTCTTCTTCTTCTTCTTCTTCCGCCTCCTCCTCTCTCTACTTCTTTTGCCCTCCTGCTGTCGGACCGCCTGGCTGTTGGCTGGAAGGCTGACTGACGTGCCAAATTCGTCGTCACGACCGAATTGAGCTGATCAATTGAGACTTTCTTTCGAGATTCCTCCAAAATCTCCTTCGCCACTCCGGCGCTCGGCTCTGTCAGTCCGAAGCTCCACCGAAATTTCTGTCACAAGGGAAACCTTCAGTCCCTCGTCCTCCATGCCTGCGAGAGAGTAAAAGCGCGGGACGCAAGGGCTCCTGCCAAAGATTTTCCCTTGCCCCTCGACACGGACTTTCTTACCCCGCGAAAACGTAACGCCCCTCGAAAAGAAATTCCAAGGAAGTACCTGCCCGCTCCCGAAAAGTGTCCACGTGTCCTCTCCTCCCATCTTACGGGCCTTGTCACCCCTGGCCCAAACGGCGAAATTTCATTTTTCAATCTCCTCTCCATACATCGTCCTGTACTACCCGTAGGTGTACGTGTGGCAGCCTCGGCTTGGCCCTGTCCTAATTCCGTTTGTTACTTATGGAAGGTTTTTCAACTTTCAATTCCTTCATCATTAGCCTTCAATTGAAACTCGGTCACCTTTCATTATGGTTTCCAGCAGACTAAATGTCACGTACCAGAGCAGCTTCTACTCAATCATCACCTGTATTTAACCCCTATCACCTGGTCGCCACCGCTCCTCCCGCCTCTGAAAACCTCTTCTTCTCGCCATTAATGCTTTCGCTTAAACCAGCATAAAGAGTTAAATTACAATACGCCTTTCGCTTATAAAATGAAAATAAAATAAGAAGAACCTCATGAACCTAGTACCCTAAGCAGAAGTGCTAGTGCCACTGACGGCTAGCTAGAATCCAAGGATGAAGGAACGGAATACTACATGCAAATACGAGTGAGAACAAAGCCATCTTCCGATAGTCAATCGGGGACTATTACGCTCGAGGGAGCAATAGCGGTTGCAAGAATGATTCTTTGATCAACCAAGGTGCAATGTCAGCGAAATCATCTGTTATTTCATGAAGCAAAACTAAATAAAGAGCTTTCGACTCCCCCAAAAAAATGGTGGGATTGGGAACATGAAATAAAAGAATGATGGCGAGAACATCATTTGCATATACACTGGCAAGTTGTTTTAAATCTACTAAGTATTGCGAACGGTCACACTGGCAAGTAGATTTAAATGGCTTTGTTAAGTGTATTCGAATTTGGCAAATTTGAATAGCATCTAGGGAGAAGAAGAAAGAAGACGGGTCAAGACCACCGGGTTATACTTTCTTTTGGATAGGCAACGAAGGTGTAGCTGAAATACTTAAGGTGCATCGACCCTCTCCCTTATTTGCCACGCGAATCATTGGTCACTTCGATGAACAGCGACTCCCTGCAATTGGTGGCATTGGTGTCTTTGGTGGCATTGTCTTAAGAAATTGGATCTCAGTAATATTCATCGTACCTTATTCACTTTACGTCGGCCGCAAATGCGTTTCTCAATAAAAGGGAAATGGATTTTTCAGAAGGATATTTAAGTCATTCTTGGGCCACATTGACATCTTTCACAACCAGTGCATCTCCATCACATCATGCGATATTGAGGCCCTTAGTCATTTGATGTCGAGCTTTCGATTGCAGGTGGCAGAACTTCAAGAAGGGGCTGGAAAGCCCCTTCAGTCAGTTTAGTGTCACTAACACCCTCAACCCTATACGCATGTAAATCATGATGTGCTTAGAGGGGCTTTTTTATTCCTTGCTGGGCTTTCTTACAGTTGAATACATTGTCCTTGGTCCGCTTCAGTGTTCGGGAAAAACCATGTTGGGTTTCACATACTGGCGATTTTTTTCTCTTTTTACAATCCCTTCTCATGCATCGCAAAATTGATACTATTCCCGAAAATTATCTTCCCTCTATTCTAACTACATATAGTATACAGTTTCTATCTTTAGCTTTCCTTTCCCGAGTTAATTCCCTTCACCCCATTCATTCTTATGGGTTCCATCAAATTCAAAAGGGTTTCATTTTATTTTTCTTTGGCAATGCCTTGCGATTTGTACCTTCCTGATTCCATGGTTCCACGATTCCTCTTACTCCTTTGATGAAAAAAGGAACGCCTAAGTCTTGTTTATCTTTGAATGACCAAAGCATCACGCTGTCACTTAAGGCAGGATATGCGTCTTCAGATAATGTTTATTGAAAAGGGATACCTTGAATGGGTGGGCGATCTACGCGGGTTACCAATACACGCAAACTTTGTTTCTCTTTTGAGATGCCTCCTCCCCCATTGCAATAATTAATATTTTTTCGCAATAAAATCTTCCCTTTGTTTGGCTAGATATGGTATACCCTATCTGGGTTGTCTTTTCCTAGTTATTTCCCTTCATCACATTCATTTTAATGATTTCAATCAAGAATAAAGGGGGTCCAAATGAATAGCAAAGTGATCTTAATTGTATTCAGAAGAGTTATAATGCTACACTCTTTGGTGATACTTTGAGATTGTTCTTTCCTTATTGCTTCATTTAAAAAAAAAAAAATCTGAAAAGAAGTATGTTCAATCTTGTTTGTTGTTTTTCTTGGAATGGCCGAATACTCGTACTGTAACTTTAGGCAGGAGGTGAGTCTCAGTTAAAGTTTATTGAAATAGGAGACCTGGAATGGGCGGCTGGTGCTTGCGTGTTTAAAAGCAATCACACAAAAATGGTTATGTAGATCATGCCGTCTCTGCTTTTCCGGGCCTTGTTTACGCCCAGAACCCAGATGATCCGCTTCACTCAGACCAGATCTCTGACTGGGATGTTACAGAAGGTGCTTTTTACAGGAACAGTTACAGGAGCGGGTTCTCACAGTATCTTTTCTGACCAATGAAATCGCGGATTAACTCCGGTTTGACCAGTTTTGAATGGTTTCCGCCCGCAACTCGTGATCATAACTCCCCGATTTTTAGAAGCAACGAAAGCCTACGGAAACGGAATGGCCAATGGCCGGAGAGATCAGAATAAACTCGCGCTGCGCAATTATTTCTCAGCCGTCACTACGGCCAGTGGCGCCGGGCTGGCCGTCGGAAGAATCACCGGTCCCAAATCTGAATTACGAGCTCCCGTAGAGGTCAAAGGCGAGCAGGGTTGCATACAGTGGACGTGATTACGATACCCCTTCTGTCATCGGCTGAAGTCGACTTCCGGCCTTCTTTCGATCTACCTTCCCGGTCCACTTGGCCCTATTTGTACAGCACAACGTACTGATCAATTCTATCCGCGCAATATTCCTTTTGCGCTCTCTAAAGCGTGACCGGTTTGCGGACACTTTTATGAGTGACCGAGTCGCCCTCTGAACTCGAGTCAACAAGGGCGTTTGGACTGCACATCTTAACAGCTCGTTTGACTGTTTAGCGATGAAACATTCAGTAATCAGAGAATCTATGGTCTGAAGCGGGAATCTACGCCCTGCTATGAGTACAATTCTGGTTGAAACAGTTTCATCACGGGTAAATTCATACTTTCCACATCATTGTAGCCATTGTACGATCACAATATCCTCTACGTTTACAGACAAATACATAAAATACTTTAACGAGGAAGTACCATGTTCCAAATTTGAAGTCTTATTTCACAACTTGCTATGGTCTCACCTTTTTGCATCACTTTCTGACCAAAAGTATATGTTTTTAATTCATATGTAACGAACGAGCGTTGTTCCTGGAGGAATATTGATTTCTAGAGGAAACTGATTTTAACCATTACTTCTCACTGAATTAACTTAGGAGGAGTCTAGAAAAAATATCTTTGTCATCCTCCTGGAAATTTACAAAAGCTATTTAGCTTCTCGCAGGACTCTACTCTACTCAAACACGTCCTTGGGTTTGCTCACCTCCAATAGATCGCGTCCAAAAAACGAACAGACAATAAAATCGATCTCACACAATCGGATAACTTAGTCCCTGATCTCCCCCTGTTACTTGTTTGTCTTCATGGGTTTTTCATATTATTTTTTTTATCCATCTGGCCTCATATGATGAACTCTGATCGTTATCAATCATCACTTATGCAGCCCAGTTGTATATTTTATTTTTATCAGATTACCTTATGATTCACATTCTAAATTATTCAGAATTCAAACTGAATGTATATTTATGTTGAAATCTTTAACAAAATACAAGATTGTGATTTAAATACAAAGTGATAACTATCCTAAAATGTCAACACAAAATATAGACTATTTATCTTTGTGGTGATAACTCAAGTTAAGTACAATATCTGTATATTAAAAACTTCAATGAGAAAATTTAAACCTGATTTTATATAGCAATTTTTCCATCAGACTATTTAATGAAATTTTATTACAATTTGTGTTCATTCTTAACATGCTTTTCATTCGCTGAAATCTTCAATCTTTATTGTGAATATATTTAAACAAGATTTAAACAGAAGTAATATCTATCAACAAATGTTTAAAGTAAAATCATATATCGAAATTGATGATGGATAGTACAACTATGCAAAACTTGAATAAAAGCTAAGAGCACAAAACCTTTGAACATGGGATTTTCTAAATTAAATTCAATCTATAATGAATCTTTATTATTATGATTATGTTATTAAAATTGTATATATGATCATCTTGCTTAGCATCATTTGATTTGTTGCAAATTGCATCAAGCTTTGATTATCACAATGTAATTATTTAATAACATATATTTACAAAATCAACTTTTGCAATAGATTAACTATGCATTTTGGCCAAAAAAAAACTTCAACTAATGATACATGATCAAGTTATAAATATACACTTCTAAATTAAAAAAAATTTCATGATAAATATAAATATTATAGAAAAAAAATTTTATACCGTTCAACCAATAATTAACTAAGATATCATAATACTAAAAAAATTTCACTCCACAAAATTTGAAAACATCTTCTAATTTTGATCAAAGTTAGAGCAATGTAGGATTTGCTATCATTGTTACTTTAAGCTTCAAATGCAAATTTTGTATAGCTCATAATGTTGAAAAAATTCAACTGGACAAGATACGAGTTCAACTTGTTGGATCGCGTCTATAAAATTAAAACTAACTATATCAAAAAATTCTTAACATGTATTATTTAGAGTTTTGACCATCAATTTTATATAGTTAAGGATTAATTAGCTCAATCAACCGGGATTAAATTAGACAAGAATCAATTAAATCTTGAGTTCATTCATTATAATTCTACCGTCATTTATATCCTGGAATTTGCAACTTTTA